ACCTATGAACCTTGTTGTCTTCTTTTATTACCTAATTACCTATTTAGATCATTAACTCATTTTGAATAAGTTTAAATTCTTAATTACTAAGGTAATAATAAAAAAAAAAAGAATGAAAGAAAAAAAAAGGAAAAAGAGATGTGGTGCTAAGGTGAAAACCATAAAAAATAAAAGGGGCAATTTAAAGCAATCTTGAAAGACTTTGAAACCATGCCAAGCAAAATAATAGAAGTCAATAAAAAGCAATTCAAACCCTTGAAACATCCAAGAACGTGAGGCCCTAAAAGTTTGAAATCAATTAAAAAGATTGATTTTCAAAATTTAAGCCTTCTTTTTTCATTCTTAAATAACATTCCAAAATTTTGAGCCCATCACAAGTTGACCTTAACATATATCAAAATGCCACATTTGGATACTAAAAAAAGTGTCAGACATGTTTGGTTTTTCAAGGGATTCATGCTTTTTAGAAAAATCTATGATTTATGTGTAAGCTTGGATGAGAAAATATACATGTCTTTTCTGCCCTTCAAGTGGTAAAACCTTCTTGAATAGAATGGAACCTTGATGTACTAAGCTAATCAATTTATTTGAAAAAAAAATTTTGTCACATCTTTCATTTCTAATAGGGAATAATAATTTTTAAGAGACGTGACTGTTGACTTGACAAGTGGCATTGATTTTACTAACATGACAACTTAGATGGACGAAATCAAATATTAAATTATGCAAACTATCTTTGTACTCACACGAAATTTAAAATTGTCACTCTAGTATAATTTTACAAAAATCTTGTCTTCTTATAAGTTGAACTTAATAATGTTAGTTCAATTATTAATAAAAATCATATTTTTTTTATTTTTTTAAAATTATATTTTAAAATTTTTTAAAAAATTAATTTTTTGATTTTTTATATTTTTAAAATATTAAATTTAGCAGTCGACTACCTTTTTGTAATTCTAATTTCTAAAATGATTGTTATCGTAAGACAGTCGACTCTTTTCATATTTCATAATGCATTCAACAAGTAAGCGGTTAACTCCTTTCAATTTCCTGAAAAGTTCTACATTCGACCTCCTATAAAGCAACTGACTTGTATTTGTTAACAATCAATTGCTCTAAACTTAAGCCAATATCCAAAAGACTATCAATCAATAGCAATCAATTCCATTAGGGTTTGGAATCATTTCTACTTATATCGAATCATAAAAGTCGATTGCTTAAGGCCGGTAATGGACTAGTATTTATATAGAAACTAAGTTTAGCTTTTGTTTTTTAAAGCAAACAACTCCATGCCAATAGTAGTCAATTGTTCTTCCTTGAAGCCTAAGGGAATTGACTCCTTTTTGCATGGCAATTGATTGCCTGTGTAATCAATCTTCTACATTAAATTCTTTATGTCTACAATCATATTCTATGAACCATTCTGTAAGTTAAATAACATAATATGAATTTTCTTTTGATTAAGTCAATTTACTTAATCAAATATTTTTATATTTTGAAAATATTTCTAACAGGAATTAAACAACAAAAATTTTGGTTGTAAGGTAAAGCAAAGTGTTGATCATGGATATGATTATCAAGCAATATAGTGGTATTTGAGTCTTAGAAATAAAGATAAAAAACAATACCAATCAATAAGGCATGATCTAAATTTTAAAAGCATCATAGTAAAAAAAATGAAAAATAAAATTTTTTATTATCACAAGCTAAAACAATACCTAGATATACTACTTAGTCAAAAAATGGTGATCACATGAAAATTCAAACGAGGGATTCATCATTTTTAAACCATTAAGTGGTCAAAATGATAGTACTCATAAATATCGGCAATTAAAATTTTTATTTTTTAAAAGGTTAAATTATATCAGAAGTCTCTATATTATGCCAAAATTTGGAATTCAATCCCTATACTATAATTTATGTAAATTTAGTCCTTATACTATTTTGGTTTGATAATTTTAGTCTAATCACTAATTTTGTCAATTTTTTATCGTTAAAAATGCTGATATGACCGTTAACTTGATTACATTGGCGTTAACTTTGCTGACATGGTAGTGATCTTGCTAATATGGTAACTTAGATGGATGAAATTAATTGTTAAATTATGTTAATGGTTATTGTACTTACATGAAATTTTAAATTTAGTCTTTTTAATATAATTTTATAAAAATCTCATCGCCGTATAAGTTGAACTTAATAATGTTGGTCTAATTACTAATAAAAATCATTTTTTTAAGAATTAGATTTTAATTTTTCTAAAAAATTAATATTTTAATTTTTTTAGATTTTTTCTCATATTTTTAAAATATTAAATTTAATATTTTAATATTTTAATTTTTTAAAAATCATTTTTTTTGAATTTTTTAAAATTAGATTTTGTTTTTAAAAAAGATTGAATATTTCAAAAATTTTAGAAATTTTCAATATTAATTTTTTGAAATTTTTATAAATTTTTTATTTTGTTAGAAATTTTCTATAGTTTTTAATATTTAAATAAATAAATAAATTATGAAGAAGACATGGTCATTAAAATTTGTTTTGTTTTGGTATATTTAAAGTGGAAGAACATAAAAATCTATGGTAAAACAGAGTAATAGCGAAGCATGAATAGCTTTTGATTCTGATTTATTATTCACTAAATAAATAAAAAATGTGTAGACAATTTTTAAGATTCCTAAAATCATTTTTAAAACACAAAAATGTCAAAAAAATTATAAAACATAAAATTTAAAAATATAGAAAATTTTATAAATATTCCAAAAAAAATTAAAATTATTAAAATTAAAATTTTTTAAATAAAATGTTAAAATTAAAAAAATTTAAAAAATTCATAAATTAAATTTTTAAAAAATTAAAATATTGAAAAATTTTAAATTTAATATTTAAAAAAATCTCAAATTTTTTAAAAAATTCAAAATATTGAATTTTTAAATAATCAAATTAAATTTATAGAATTAAGAAAGATTCTAAAAAAATAAAATTTTAAAAAATATTAAATGTAATATTTTAAAAATAAGAAAAGACTCTAAAATTTTAAAAATTTTGATTTTTTTTTTTAAATTAGAAGTTGATTTTTAGAAAGTAAAACAGTAAGATTTTTATTAATAATTGAATCAACATTATCAAATTCAACTTGTATGATGATGAGATTTTTATGTAATTATACTAAAGGGACTAAAGTTTAAATTTCATATGAGTTCAATAAACATTTGCATAATTTGATAATTGATTTTATACATCTAACTTGTCACATTTACAAAGTCAACATCTATGTTATCAAGTCAACAATGATGTCAACTTTTTTAAAGGCAACAAATCAATGGAGTTAGTAATTAGACTAAAATTATTAAATCAAAATAATAAAAAAATTAAATTTGTATTAATTATAATGCATGGATGAAATTCTAAATTTTAAAAGATTATGAGGACCTTTTGCATAATTTGATATTTTCAAATTAATTAATTAAAATAAAATATCTTGAAAAAATTAGATAACGATTTTTCAAAAATGTAAATAATGGAATTAGCCAAAAATAGATATATATATAGAGCATATAATAAGCAGTCACTACATGATATATATATATATATATGTATATCATGCAGTAACTACTTGGTGTTATAACCTCAAAAGAGGAGTAGTAAGTGAAATCTCCTAGGACTAGGAAATGCCAAATGGGTCCTCAAGGGCACCGGACTACGTGTAACATGCAACATGTGACGAGGAATGAAAGGACTTCAGCACACATTCTGACAGCCCTTCCCTTAGTGTCCCTCCCTCCCTTCCTTCACCCTTCCTCTGACTTCCGAGTCAGATCTCTAGATTTCTTTATAATTTTTGCCCACGTTTGCCTACCTGTCAACTACATTATACCAATGTTAAGAATTTTACATTTTTATTTAGGGTAATATACTAAAATGACCAATAATTTCAAGTCGAGTTTCGGTCCCAATAGACATACAATAGCAGGGAGCCCTTGTAATTTAGTTTTAAACATAGAAAATTTCTTTTTAGAAGAGATGAATACGGCTGATCGCTGAATAAAAAGTTATGCATATTTTAATTATTTGATTTTTATAATTTAAATACAACATGCATATTTATTTTTCGTAATATTTACATTAGTGGCCATTAGCCAACATCCACACTTGTGAATTCCACATAGAAAGACACAAATGTGCGTTGGGCAAGGTGATCAAGATTAGACAATGGAAACTATATCGGCGTCGGACATGAGTCTTGGATGAAGATCGAGTTGTTAATTTCTGATGATGCTTGAGAGACACATCCATTTGTTATCCCATAGATGACTTCTTCCTCTTGTCTCTTACCAATATGTCCTCGTGTGTTTGTTAAATGAAAATTTCTTTAAAATTGAGTCACTAAATTCTAACGGTGCCGAGCATTTTAACTATAATATCCTATATCCAAGGATATTATTTTGGCTAAGCCCCATTGTTTTAATTTCTATAGTGACATGGACACTACGTCGCGTGCCATATAAATGTTAGCCCAATCAATTATCGGCCTTGTGTTTCCACCAATTAGACAACCTGAAATATTTGGTTGAAAATCCTTGAAACTGTCCTCCAAATTATTGAAAAGGCAAATGAAATTCCAGAGCTGATTCTCAATTTAGATCTAATATATATAAACAAGCATATTGTTGTCTAGATCAGATCCAATCATCCAAGCGTATGGTTAATCATATTTGAGGTTTTTGTTAAAATATGATTAGATGGCCATCGTCAAATTCTTATCTTAATTTATATAACAAATAATACGGCATAAAAAATATAAAAGTATATAAAAATAATATAATTTAAAATTTTAATATAAATTTTTAAAAAATAAGATATATTTTTTATATTCATATAAATTATAACATTATATTTTATATAAAATATAATATAAATGTACAAATTATAAATATTTTATATAAACGAATTACCATATCATACAATAAAATTTGGGTTAGCCAGTGAAATCCAAACAATTGTAAGGTAAAGGTGTGTCTCAATCTTAGAGGTTCCATTCCTAAAGTAAAAGTTTCATTGGAAACCCACCCAGAGAAGATCCTTTTCTAGACTTTCGGTGCTTAAATTCAACAACTCTCGTTCCTTTTATTCTTTTCTCTTTCTTTCTGTTAAACTTGGGACAATGGAATCAATTGTTTCTCTGCCTCAATCTCCGTAATCGATCTCCCAATGTTGGCAAATGCTCTTTGCTACAGAGACAGAAAAGAAAAAGCTACGGCCTACAATTGCTGACTTTGTATCGCCTATAATATTTCTGTTCTCTCTCTCCTTTTTTTTCCTTTGCTTTGACACCAAAATCTATATCTACTACTACATTTAATAACATAGTCTGGTGTTCGTTGAGGTTTTTGAATCTTCTGCCCGCTCTCTGGGAATGGAAACTTGAGCTAAAACATGTTTCTGAGGTTCAGGTAACAGTACTGACTATGGCAGTTGAAGTTTTCTCAGAGATTTCAAGCGCAGGAATCAGCCCAAGAATCTCGTTTTCTCATGATCTCAGCCAAAAAGATGATGCAGAACCCATTGAAGAACAACATCACCGGAGATTGGACACATCACTCTTGGATTCCAGTTCGGATTTCGATTTCTGCTTTGGCAATAGTTTTGTCCAAGAATTGCCCTCAGCTGATGAGCTCTTTTCGAATGGCAAGATTCTACCAATTGAAATCAAGAAAAAAACGGTTGTTGCGAAACAAGTTTATCATCAATCTGAGCCTGTTGCTTCTTCTCCCCATCAGAAAACTGCAGACAACACAGGGAAGAAAAGATTGAAAGAATTTTTGTCCATGAGTATTGATGCAGATGACAAGCCTGCGTCCAGATCTTTCTGGCAGTTCAAAAGAAGCAGTAGCCTCAATTGTGAGAGTACTCGAAGCAAAAGCCTAATCCGCTCACTTCAGTTTCTTTCACGCAGCAATTCAACTGGTTCAGCTCCAAATCCAAAACCAACAATGCTTTCAAAAGAAACCCAGAAGCAGCATTTGCAGAAGCGGCCATCTTTGTCAAGAAAATCATCAGGGCCAAGTTCTTCTGGTGCATTTTACACTTACAGTTCTACCCAAAAGCATCCATTAAAGAAGAATTATGGAGCATATGGAAATGGAGTTCGAGTCAGTCCTGTTTTGAATCTTCCACATCCATTCATTTCCAATGCAACTGTGAGTTTTTTTGGGTTTGGTTCACTCTTCTGTAACGGTAAGGTGAAAAAGAAGAAAAGCTGAAAATTTCAGTTCCAAAGACTGAAACTTTCAAGTACAGTTGGGTTTTAGCTGTTCATGAATTAGCATATCTGTAAATTGAAAGAAGAAAATTTAGCAGAGAAAGAGATTGGTCTTATCAAAGTACAATGGGGAATCTGGTTTACTTTTTTTAGAGTGAAAAACAACAGTGAAACAACAGATCAAATGGGTGTTATTCTCCTTTTTCATGCATATCATCATTGTTATGGACTTAGCAGACAGGTAAACATGGGATTTCTCTTTCATGGCTATCCATGCTTACTTCTTTTTCATTTTTTTTTCTTTTTCAATCTATAATTAATTAAATGTGGCCATCTTTTTTTCTGTCTTCAACCGTGATTGATGCTTCCTTTTGTTGTTTTGCTTGATTTAAAATACAAAGTAATAAGATTGTGCATTTGGGTCCAAGAGGGACCATGTTTTGGTGTCTTTTTGTTCTATCTTGGTTTAAAGACAGAACAGTTCCTAATGCATTGGCTTTAGAAAAGAAGTGATGATTAAGGGGCCCTCTATCTCAGCTTTTCATCAGCTTAAATATAATATAAAATAAAATCATTTACTAATAAGATTGTTAGTGCTGGATTGCTGGCTGCCTGGCTCGACTTGATCGAAGCCACCCTATCTAATATGGCCCGTGTCTTTGATCGGCGGTCTTTGATTTAGATGAAGTCACATTTTCACAAGGATGGAGAGACTGCTGACAAACAATTAATGGATATTCGGATTGGGGGTGATGTGACCATAAATATTTTACCAATTTTTTCAAAACAAAGATTTTGATTGAAATTTGAATTATAAAAGAATACATATTATTATATTTTTAAAACTAAATTACTGATTTTATTTTATTAAAAAATTTTCAATATTCAATCTGAATAAATATTTAAGAATATGTTTGAGAAGTTAATACACATAAAATAGTATTATTTGTAAATGATAATATATATCTATTTATTCAAAAAAATAATTTTTTTAATAATTTTAAATATAATATGATGATACAATAAAAAAATAATATTAATAAAATATTAAAATGACATAATTTAAAAATTGTGTAAAAACTTTATATGGATATCGACGTTGAATTAGGTTTATTGACGCTAATAAATGCCAAAATTGGGACTTGGTCCAACTGACACTTAATTTAGGTTCATTTATTCAAAAATATTATTAAATTATTAAAAATTTTTATATCAATAGTTATTTTAAAATTAAAATTAAATAAAAAATATATTTTTATTAGTAAAATAATACCATATGTCAAAATTTTTTTTAAAACAGAAAACCTTGTCCAAAAATTAACTCGAAATAAATCATCTCAAACATAAGAATTGGGTTGTCATTTACGTGTTAAATTACGGATAGCAAAAGATACGTTTTTTTGAGTCTTAGTTTTAATCTAACAAAAACTCGCGTTCCCTTTTGAGATATATTTAATATAATTTGTAATTATTTAAAATGAGTAAGATAATTTAAAAAATTTTGTTTTAGAAACCTATATAATCTAGATTTAATTTATGTAAATAACTAACAAATTTAAAAAGAATTGTCTTTGGGAACTATGTTATTTAGATGTAATTTTTTAAAATGAGCAAGGCAATTTAAATTTTTTTTATATTATATGTATCACTACGAAATTTTTACGACCACGAAAAAGATAATTTTAATATCTCAAAAACTATATTTCAATATATCAAAAAGTATAGAAATAAAAGAGAAATTCATTATATTTGTCAAGTCATTTTATAAAATAAAAAGTTATATATAACTCAATTACAAACCTATAAATCAAAATTTAAAATTAAATAAATAAATTTCATATTAAATTATGTTTTACTAAAATAACTTTATATATCTGCACATAATAATAAAAAAAAACTCTCATTTCAAATTTGAAATATAACTTATTTATTTTATATAATCATCTTTAAAAAATAATATCAAAAAAATCTTAAATTCAAATTTAAATACATATAATTTCTTCTTTTATTTTCGAGCTATAATTTTTTTATTAAATAAATAATTTTTTACATCAATCTCTAATTTTAAATTGCAATACCTAAATGCCTTGTTCACCTCAAATTTACTCCCAGCACACATGTCAATGTACAAGTCATGTGGTCGACTTTCATTTATACAAGGTTACATCTCGTGCAGTTAACTGGAATGCGATAAACCGACTATATCTGATATTATATCTGATAATATCTACAAAGAATAGATAAAGATTAACTAAATAATCTCTTCATGATAATATCTACAATAGACAATGACTTTATATTTAATATATTATTAATGTGTAAATTTTATATATTATCAATAAATTATAAAATAATATTTTATTAATTAATAAATATTAATTTTTAAAATAAATATATAAAAAATTAATATTTTTAAAAAAATTAATTATTAATGAAATGACATCTAATTCATTTCATCAATAAAATAATATCAATTTATTTAATAATAATATATAAAATTTATATACTAAAAATGTATAAAATATAAACTCATAAACTACCGTAAGAAAACAAGTTAATATCTACAATGAACCCACGGTCTTAGATCTGCCAGAATTTTGACTTTTTTCGGATTTAGCGAGTGCCATTTCTGGCGCAGAAGCTTTAAATTGTGCTTTCGGAGAGACAGGGAGGCAATGAGAGTTGTTGAGCGTGGCAATGGTCGCAAAAAATGGAACTTCAAATCAAGGCTTCAATGACCTCACTGCCATCATTCAAATTAAACAATAAAGTAAATCCAGTGATTGTAGACTTGAAAAATAGGAAGATTCATCATTTTCTTGAAAGAAATTAAGAAAGGAAATTATGAAATGAATATGAAGAACGAAGGAAAGAAAACAGTACTCTCAAGAGTTTCAGGATCCTCACCTTGTTGATCTAACAGCAAATCGTTTTTTTGTTTTTTTATTTTTGAAAAATTCCATGTCAAGAAACAAATAATAATGGAAGATGATAACAGTTAAAAAAAATCTGACTACAAACTGCAAAAATCAAAATTTGAAATATATTTTTTAAAATAAAAATTATAAAAAAGGGAATTTATTGGAACCTCAGTGAGCCCTACTGCCACTCCCTTTGGAGCTACCGCCGTTGTGAGATGAATTTTGATATATAATTTAAAAAAGACCAACTAATAATATATATTTTATTTTATTTTATTTTTTTAAAATGTATTTTATCATACCTATTAATGATGCGCTGGCCGCCTTGGTGCGTGAGACTGGTTGGACCATTGAGCCTGATAACACTACTTACAAGCATTCTCCCCATCATCAAAAACTTTTTGTTTATTATTCTTTAACTACCGAACGTTCTTTTTTTTTTTGGTTAAATTATACAATTAATCCATATACTTATATAAAATTTAAACTTTATTCTATAAAATAATTCCTTGAAATTGAATATTTGTATTAGTATAATTTAATAATATTGATTCAATTAATGATATTGTTATTTTATCTTCATTAAAAAGTTGACGTAGTCATTGACCATGTTGATGTGACTATTGATCATATTGACATGATATTTATTTGCTGACATAACAATTAAGATTGATAATATCAATTGTTAAATTATATAAATGATCATTATACTCATACGAAATTTGAAATTTAGTTCTTATATTTATATGAAATTTAAAAGTTAGTCCTTATACTAGCACAAAATTTAAAATTTAATCTCTCTAATATAAAATATTTTTAATTTTTTTAATTTTTTCAAAATTATTAATAATATCATATTAATAATTTTTTTATCATTTATATTAATCTATCATAATATTAATAATTTAAATTAATATATCAAAATTAATATTATTTTAATTAGTATAGAAATATTATAATAAGAACTTTCAATTTTTTTTGTTTCACAAAAACAAAACTTATTTAAATAATTAAGTTCGAATCTAATAATCTTTTAATAAGACTAATAATGTAAAATTAATATATTAAAAATATAACAAAATAAGTTAAAATTTATAAAAAATAATATAACTAAAATTTATATAATTTATAGGGTTTAGGGTTTAGATTTATGGCTTAGGGTTTAAATCATCACAAATAGAATAGATTGGTTTAAATTTATTTGTGATAATTTATAAAGTTTTAGCCTCCAAAGCTTATGCTTCTAGAAATCATTTTTGCATAAACAAAATTATAAGTTATAGTATTATATTTTTATTTTAAATTCGTGATTTCCTTTGTCACTAGAAATTCTCAAACCTTAAACCAAAACCCAAGCTTTAAACCTAAACCTTAAACCTAAAATCTAAACCCTAAACTCTAAACCTTAAGCCCTAAATTGAACATTAAATGCTGAACCAAACTCTAAACGCAACTCCAAACCCCAAACTATATCTAAACCTTACACGTAAACCCCAAAACCCTAAACTAAACCTAAGCCCTAAAGTAAACCTTAAATCTTATCCCAAACTTAACCTTAAACCCTAACCTAGACCTTAAATCAATCCCAAAACCTAAACCAACCATAAGCTTAACTTTAAACTCTAACCTAGACCCTTGATCCCATTAATGCGTTTGCATCCATTGTACTTTGTTACTCCATGCATTCTTGAATTGTCATACATTCATACTTTATTATTCATGTATAATTATCATGCATTCATATTATTATTATGTTCATACCTATCATGCATACGTTTTATAAATGAGGTTTTAAAGAAAAAATATTTTACAAATAAGATAATATTCCAAATAAATATAGCCTTTGAGATTTACCCTAAATATAGGGGGACTCTCAATAGTTATTATTTATATGAGGCATTAACTCAATTTTTGTGGAGGTAATTTGGAAACTCTTAAGTTAGAGGTATTTATAAAGCTCTACCTAAATATAAGAGATATAGAAGAGTGGAATAAGTGTCTTGATACTTAGGGCCAAAACTTTGCAAGTCTTTACAAACAAATTTAAACCTATCTATGATGTTTATGATGATTTGCAAATTTTTAGTCTTTGAAACTTTTCAAAACTTAGGCTTTTGAAAATCATTTTTGTCGAAACAAAATTCTAAATTATAATATTACATTTTTACTTTAAATTTGTGCTTTCTTTTGTCACTAGAAATTGTAGGATGTTAGAGATTTTGTGACTTAAAGTAAGTCAAATACTCATAAAATACAAAAATTTTAGAATTAAGAAAAAATTTTTAAATTATTTTTATCAAATATTTGATGTGTTTAGTTATAAATTATATAAATTTTAGTTATACTATTTTTAATAAATTTACTTATTTTATTATATTTTTACTATATTAATTTTATGTTATTAGTCTTGTTAAAAGAGTATTAAGTTAGATTCAAATTTAATTAGTTAAATATTTTTTTGGTAAGACTAAAAAAATTGAAAATTCTCATTATGATATATTTATACTAATTAAAATAATATTAACTTTGATATATTAATTTAAATTATTAATATTATAATTGATTAATATAAATGATAA